CAAAATATGGGACAAAATTATAAAAACAGGTATAAATATTCACTAATTAATTTAGTAAATAGGTTACAACTCGTACAAGTAGCATATAAATATGTAGATTTTTTTAAAAGTAAGAAAAATGCTTGAAACAAATATCTGTTTAATAATGAATTTTAAAATGCTATTTTAGAAAGTCTTGCATGAACAAATTTTAGGTGGAAAATACAAATCTACTACAGTCCGTCTACATAATTAGCAGAACTAGAAACAAAGCAAGTTCTGAGCATGCACATTCATATGCAACAAGCTGTCCTTTGATATTGACCAATAAATGAACAGAACTCAAGAAAATGCACAGAAGACAAAGTACGTGTCATTGATTTTTTTTGTAGGCTGAAACCAGCTGGGTAAAAATTATTATAGTTACTTTAAAGTTTGCTATACAGTTAGACAAATTAAAATCTAAGTTGTTTTCTAAAATTATTTTTGCTATATTCAGTTATGGTTGATTTTATCCAAATGAAAAGAGTATAATAAGCAGAAATAAATTTGGTTACACAGTAAAGTCCCAAAGATGAATGCAAAACTTCTTTAGACAAATGTTGACATGTTCCTTTTGAGACCTATCATATCCTGGTAGCTATACTAATCCCATACTCTTCTACCTTGAACAAGGGGGGGGTATTTGCAAACTCTTATAGTAAAGCATATGGATTCTGCTCATCTTAATATTCAGGTATTTGAAAAAAGTAAAGATGTTTACACATATTTCTACTTCTTAAAGAAATATCGTTTCTAGTTTGAAGTCAAAAGCAGGTAGTTTGTGGCTAATCTGCTATAATTTCAATAATCAAGAGGAATTAAATGTCACTTTTGATTTACCAGTTGGAATTGTCCCAGACTCCCAAGTTCCTTTATGAAAGTCATAATTGAGTTAATATCCTCTAAAGACAGGCATTGATATAGTTCCTTTGAATAGTTTTTGCCCTGTATTAGAAAACAAATAAAAAAACATACTCTTAAGCAATTGCTACAGAGTCAAATCATGTTTATGAATTGCTTCCCACTTCATATATCAATCAAATTTTGGACTTTATAAACAGATGTGTTAATTAACGCTAAATAATACATGGTAAATTCGACTTATCATAACACATGTCCCAATCTAAGAAAACCTCATATTTGACCAGGAAGACTTGGATGAAATAGCTCAATGGTGCTTTCTTTGGTAGTGAGATTGGGGAAAGGAGAACAAAAGGGCACAATGTGTGAGACAACAAGTTTGGGATGCAGGAGGAGTCTCCTTTGGCCTTCAGGGCACTGGAGGTCAGAACAGCAAATGGGCATTTACATGTGAACCTCATATATGGGACATTACCATTTTGGAGTTTCAAGAGTTCTAGTAAATACCAATTCTCCACCTTTCCTCATTCCCATTTCCTTCGAATGCATCCCTGGGAGCAGAAGGTTTCATGTATTATCATTTTTTTTCTGGTGGCATGGTTCCAATGGTTTTAATGAAAACCAACTAACTCACTAGAGAAGGGAAACAGAACTAGAGGAACAAGATAACAAATCATAGGGAAACAACAGTCTAAAAGGTCATGTGATAGCTCCCACAAACATCTCTCCTTAGAGCATCGATGTTTGTTCACGAGACCTTTCACCCTCCACTCTTCCAGATCTCTGAATATAAGTTTTAAAACAAAAAATACATATAGGGAACCCTACTATACTTGATAAACTGTAGATATTTTTCAATGTATCAGGAAAACTTGCTCTAACTTGCCATAAAAAATTAACCAATACTATTCTGAAGCACTACGCCCTAGTCATCAGCATCAAACCAAATATATTAACCAGATGTGAATGCTTAAAATGTTGTGTTATAATTCAAGTTCCTGATATCAATCGGAAGTACTCGCTACTAGTCTAGACTGCCTTTAAAAAGTTCTAACATTTCTCTTACAGCATTCTACAATATGTAATATATATTATTCATACATCCACAAAAGGTCCTTAGGAATTAGGAGCTGCTTTCCTCCATTTTAACTCATAATTCATCATAATCAGTCACCCACATACTTAAAAACCAAACCAAACCCATTCCCATCAAGTCAATTCTAACTCATGGTGACCCCATATGTTTCAGAGTAGAACTGTTCCATAGAGTTATCTTGGCTGTAATCTTTATGGAATCGGATCACCAGGCCTTTCTTTCATGGAGCCGTTGGGTGGGTTCAAACCACCAATTTTTAGGTTAGCAACTGATCACAAGCCATTTGTGTCACCCAGGGACCACTTCATGTACTTAGTTGACATAAAAATAATATTGATTTTCAGGTCAGCAAAATATTAAGATATATAGTATAATAAATACCAATTAATTTCAAAAGATTTTCAAGTTGCTTAATTGTATAATTAAAAAAACAGCACCTTTTAAAGAATGACTTGAAATAAGGTAATCAGTCAATACACAAATATACACTTACTTTAAACACGCCTGATCTGTAAAGTCTCTGAAATATTTCAGAAAACATAGAAAATGTAGATTCATTAGAGAAGAGAAAATTGAAAGTGTCTCTTAAAAGGAACTCTTCTGTATTTTGGTCCTCAAAATCCATATTATCATCATTTTGAAAATTTAAGTGCTCATGCACCTTCAAAAAAATAAAAGCACAGCAAATATTTTTCATTGACTTACTTTTAATACAATGGAATTACTTCTAAGATGTAATTTATTTTCTGTTGAATTACAGATCAGAACTGACATCTAGTGGTCTTTTTGGAGGTCAGCAATTTTACAAATGTGAGTAATGTAGTTCTTTTTAACATATTGTTCTTTAATATATAAGGAAGTTAACCAATGTATCATAAAGTCATATTAGTTTATCTTGAAACACTTTATTACCGAAGAATGTGTGTTCATGGAAGATAACAAAGAACATTTATGAACAATGAATTTTAAAAAACATAATAGAAACTGTTAGAAATATGTGCAAAATCATAAATAACCATTAGATGAAGTAGATTCATAGTTTCACATTTTAATGGATAAATCTTTGAGCTATTCAACCAAATGTCTGAGCCACATAATCAGTATCTGTACATGATAGTTTAATATTCAGTATGAACTTGAATCCTAGCTACACCTAATTTTATTTTGCTCCTCTTCCCTTTTTCCTACTCCATATAGCAATATAGAGCTTTCCTATGGACTGATTCAATCAGTTTTTTTTTTTAAATCTTCTTGCTATTTTAGCTTAAATATACTATAGTGGGAGAAGGTCTGAATGAACTAATTTGATTAGAGAGGAAGAAAAAGAATCAGTGTGTATATAAATGGTGTATTTAAAAAAGTCCTTCGATTTAGGCATGTTTATACTAGAAACAATATTTTTCAAATTCTTGTGGCTTTTTAATTCAAATATAGAGCAATTTAAAATTAAGTGTCTATATATAAAAAGTTATGTTTTTTTATAAAACCTTGTGAATAAATTGGATAATCTGCTATTTTCTATGATTTATCAGCTTTTCTATTATCACATATCTACTTTTCTCCATTAATACATACTCAACTTTATACTACATTTATGTCACAAACAGTAGTTAAATGATATTAAAATTCAAGCTTATTCTCCAGGGACACACAGTGGGACTGGAACTCAAATCATAGATTGTCTACATACTAGCTAATTCCTTGAACCACAGGAAATATAAGTCTGCAATGCCTTTTGTTGATTGCTTACTATTAATGACAACAATAACAACAACAATAACAATACACACACACACACAGGAAAGCATGCAGATCTTTGAGCAAAATGTGGAAGGCCATACTCACCTGTAGAACTACAGGGTACCTGAAACTACCATAACCAATGTCAAATGTTAAAAGTTGAAAACATAATCTGCATCTGAAATAGAGACACACAGTAACATAAAAACATATTCTATTTGCTTCATTTACGCTATCATTTGGTATCATGTTATTAATAACTATTACAGTTAATTTTCAATACCTGTACTAATCAAAAAGAGAAGTGGTTTGGATAATCTAAAATTGCCTATAATTTATTTTTGGATTGGGAGTCTTTTTTTGTTCCTTACATAAAATACAAATATATCTAAATATTCATAAGACATTAAACTAAACAATGAAGTTACCCCAGGAAAACTTGCACAGGGAGAAGAATACTCCTCCACTCCTATATGCTAGGCATTCTTATTTACATACAAAGCATCATAAAGCTTAACTTGAGGTGCTCCTCCCCCTTTTTTAACATGCTAGATGTAATATTTCCCTAGAACAAAGGCAATGACAAATTATATTCAAAGTACCTGAGATATGGGGATGGGAGGCATTGAATTTTGTTAATGAAGGTCTTTAATACCTTCTCTGCATAATGGTGGCACGTGGTTAAGAGCAATAGCTGCAAACCAAAAGGTTGGCAGTTCGAATCTACCAGCTGCTCCTTGGAAATGCTATGGGGTAGTTCTACTCTGTCCTATTGGGTTGCTATGAGTCAGAATCAACTCGATGGCAATAGGTTTGTTTTTTTTTTTGCTTTTTCTGCATTATTCAATCAGTAGAATAGTTGAAAGAAAAACATATTATGTATAAGTAAAACTATCCCTAAATAGTCAAAGCAAAGTATATAAGATAGAAATAGCTGAGCTTCAAAGGAGACTGCAAATTTAAAAAAAAAATTTTTTTTAACTTGTGCTTTATTTCTTTGTCACCATTATTTAGATACTAATGAGTTTGTAATACGCGCTGAAGTTTTTCAGGATCTATAAATTAGGAAATGTATGTTTAGAAGATTTTATTTTTATATTGTTGTAAAATTTTCCAAGTAGCACATACTTGTGATAATTGAGATATATTTCTACCAACAACCAATTTTTAGAAAGTATGTTTTTCTCTCTCTCTCTTTTTTTTTTAATGTTGTTAAAATAGGCATTTGTTGTTACCTATTGAAGGCCTTTGGTCCCAGAGTAGATGTTTCACTGAATGCTTCAGCTGCTAGCAGGAGTTTACTTATTGCTTCCTTCATATTGTCAAAAGCCTGAAGAGGTGAACTGGCCCTCAGGAATGTCTCAAAATATGTTTGCAGCTGTCAACAAAGAAAAGGATTCATGTACTGAAACAATCGCAATTTGTCTATCATTTCAAAGGTGAACAACTTGGAGAACTTCTTTAGGTTATCTTTCCTTGCCACACTCAAAAAAACTCCTTAAATTAAACAGTAAATTTTGATGAGCTAAGATATTTCTACATGGAGAAAAGTAGACACGAGGTAATAGAATACATATATATACATACATAGGTATATATAGAGAATGTGAGTCCGTGAGTGGTGCAAATGGTTAATGTGCTCACTTCTAACCAAAAGATTAGAAGTTGGAATCCACCCAGAGACACCTTGGAAGAAAGGTTTGGTGATCTACTTCTGAAAAAAATCAGCCATTGAAAACCTTATAGAGCACAGTTCCACTCTGGCACACATGGGGCTGCCATTAGTGGGAATCGACTTGTCAGCAACTGGTATATATCTATAGATTTTTTGTTGTTTTGTGGCATAGAGTCAATTTCAACTCATAGTCACCCTATAGGACAGAGTAGAACTGCCCCATAGAGTTTCCAAGGCTGTAATCTTTATGGGAGCAGATTACCAGGTCTTTTCTCTCATGAAGCTGTTAATGAATTAGAAATGCTAACCTTTCAGTTAGCAGCTGAGTGCTTAATCACTGTACCACCAGAGCTCCTTCTACAGATATAGATAGATATTATTTATATCTATCTATCTAGAAGGGTTTAAATATCTTGTAATTTAAACTTCTTTAGAGGTGTTTACTCCATTTTTTTTTTCTTATTTCATGACATCTAATCGTGGAAGGAGCCCTGGTGGCGCAGTGGTTAAGAGCTCAGCTGCTAACCAAAAGATCAGCAGTTCGAATCCACCGGTGCTCCTTGGAAACTCTTTGGGGCAGTTCTACTCTGTCCAATAGGGTCGCTATGAATCGACGTAGACCCGATGGCAACAGATAATCACGGAAAGTGCAGTGAAAATATAATAGGGCTTATGCTTAGAAATCCCAAGTTTAAATTATTATTCTACCAACTAGGTGAACTTGAACTTGCCAATTACTTCTCTGTATCTCTGCATCCTTCTCTGTAAAACAGGGATAATACTTACTGACAACAGAGTTGTGAAGCCAAATTAGAAGAAAACATATGAAATTCAAACCTTAATTTTTTAAAAAAGTATTATCTATGTTCTGCATGTATTAGAACAAAAATAACCTACTGAAGTTGCTCTTCTTCAATTCCTTTTGCTATAGGAGATCTAGACAATTAGAGCAGAATCTAAGGGAATCTCAGCGTCCTACTGAAATTTTAACTTAAGCTTTCATGCGGCTAGAGAGGAGAGGGCAGTGTTACAATAGGGGGAATGAAGCTCAGTTTTATGTCTTCTTAGAAACACCACAGTTGGCATCACAAATAATTATTTTTGTCTAAATATTAAAACAACCACAACAGCAAAACTACCTCCTGAGAATGCTCAGCATCAAAGTTTAAGTCAAATTTTTTTTTAAGTATAAAAACAAAGCCCCTATGGGTAAACATACTTCCCTATGGGTAAACATACTCTGGAAAAGATGAAGAACAAAAAATATTTTTGAAGAAACGTGCAGCAGGGATTCTACTAATGCTTTGGAAAGAGCAAACTAAATCTGTCTGAATTGTTTAATATTGCAAAGTGAAAAACTATTTTTTTGTTGTATGATAATTAAGGACAGAGACTGGCACAAGTCATTTGAGGGAAATGGTAAATGTTATCTTTAAAATAGACAAGCAAAATCCCCCCAAGAAAAATAAATACTGACTTCATACAGTCTTACTATCTTTAAAACAGAAACCTAATGAGATGTATACTTTGAGACTCTAAGAACACATCATTAGCATTTGGCACTTGGGATGCTTTTCCATTTCACAAAAGAAAATGAGTGTAATAAATGTATGATCAAAAGAAAACAAATTAATGCTAAGACTAAAAATGTTAACCCCTGTCTTAGTCATCTAGTGCTGCTATAACAGAAATACCACGAGTGGATGGCTTTAACAAAGACAAGTTTATTTCCTCACAGTCAAGTAGGCTAAAAGTCCAAATTCAGGGCGTCAGCTCCAGGGGAAGGCTTTTTCTCTCTATCAGCCTTCTTCTCTTCAGTGTTCCCCTGGACTAGGAGCTTCTCGGCGCAGAGACCCCGGTCCAAAGGACGGGCTCTGCTCCCAGCACTGCTTTCTTGATGGTATGAGGTCCCCCGGTCTCACTGCTCACTTCTGTCTTTTATATCTCAAGAGATTGCCTCAGGACACAATCCAGTCTTGTAGATCAGGTCCTGCCTTACTAACACAACTGCCACCCATCCTCCCTCATTAACATCATAAAGGCAGGTTTACAACATACAGGAAAATCACACAGTACCAGGAATCATGGCCTAGCCAAACTGATACACACATTTTTGGGGGGACATAATTCAAACCATGACAACACCCTTGAGTCAAGATAGAGTAACATGATGTTTTTCCAAATAAAATAAGTCATCACATTTCACTCAGTTCACCATATTATGTAGAAAAGATTATTAATGATATTATTCCATTTTCCCATTTTAATGTTTTCTGAGTGTTACAGACGTTAATGTTAATGATATAAGAAAGATGGAAATGAATATCTGTTTGGTATATAAAACATACAAGATTGACTATCAGATTATATCCTCCATGGGGAAGAATAATTAGCAAATTAATGTCTTAGGGTTGTATTTATTCTTCTACTGTGGAAATAATTACCTTAATTTCTGAATGTAACTGTGAGCATTGAATATGGGGTGCCACTACATTGACTCACTTCCATTCAATTTTTAATGAAAAGTCTACCATATGGAAAGCACTGTGTTCTCTTTGAGGGACGAGGTGCATACCACTGTGGTAACACTATAGACTCTAGGAGCAAAAAGTCTTAGACTCACCTCTGGCTCTGCGCCTACTACTGTTAATAGCAATACCTACTTTATAGAGAAAATGTACATACGGCACACCACTGCCTGGCGCACCTCAGTACTCAGTACACGTCGTTGTTGTTAGATGCTGTTGAATGCCATTCTGACTCCTACTGACCTCATGTGACAGAGGAGAACTGCCCCATAGGGTTTTCTAGGCTGCAGTCTTTACGGAAGCGTATTGCCAGGTCTTTCTGCCGCAGAGCCACTGGGTGGGTTTGCACTACCACCTTTTGGTTAGCAGCCGAGCACTTAACGATTGCACCACCAGGGCTCCTTCAGTA